GGGGAGTGACGAGCTCAACGGGGCCCTTGTGGTCGTCGACCTCACCCTCCTTGATCTTGGGAGAGGCGGCGAGGACCATGGCGCACGACTTGATGCCGCGCATCTTGACGGGCTTGAGGTTGCAGACCACGACGACCTTGCGGCCCTGCATGGACTCGAGAGGGATGAGGCCGTTGAGGCCGGAGCAGACGGTGCGGCAGATCTGACCCTCGTACTCGACGTAGTCCTCGTTGCCGGGCTTGTCGCCGACAGCGATGGTGGAGACGTAGAGGGAGTCGGCGTCGGGGTGGTTGATGGCCTTGAGAATGTGACCGACTCGGAGGTCAATGAGAGCAGGGGAGAGAGGAGCAGCAGGGGCGGGAGCAGCCTTTTGCTTGGGAGCCTTCTCCTTCTTCTCCTTCTTGGTCTTATCGGTAGCAATCTTCTCCTTGGCCGTCTCAACAACCTCCTTGACCTTCTCCTTGGTACGGTCAACAAGCGAGGCCTCACCAGCACCACCAGCGGCAGCAGCAGCAGCCTCCTTCTTCTTCTTCTCCTTCTCAGCCTTGGCGTCAACGGGAGGCTTCACGTAGAGAACGTTATCACGATCAACCTGGACCTTGTTCTCATCCTTGACATCGAGGCCGAACAGGGGAGAGTTCTGGACAAAGTCGACGTGACGAACGATATGGGGATGACCCTTCTCGCCGGTTCGCTCCTCGGGAGACCACTTGGCGACGATGGGAGCGAGGGTCTCATAGATGGCGACGTCGGCCTTGGAGGGCTTGCTGCCAAGGAGGGTGGAGCGGCTGGAGAGGTGGTTGTTGAGGGTCTCGAGGATGGTGGACTTGTCCTCGGGGGACTTGAGACGCTCCGAGGTGGTGAGCCATTGCTGAATCTCAGCCTCCTCGGTGGGAGTGTAGGTCTGGGAGGCGAAGGATGCCATTCTGAAGGATATCAACGGTGAGAGGCTTCGGGGTGCCTGGCGGAGAAGTCGAAGGGCGAACAGGGTGGCTGTGATGAGAGATGAAGCCTCGATATAGCTTCACTCGAACTGATGCTAAAGAGTAGAGAGTGTCTAGATATTTTCTCTTGGTGGGGTGGAGGGGTAATTCTGGTCTGGTCTGTCACCAATTGAATTGGCGGGGAGAACCGGGAGGCGTTGCTGTGGCGTTGAGAGAAGAATGTGGCTGTTCTATCGTGTCCTTGTAACGCGCTAACTCGTGACATCGCCCCTTTCTCGCGTTTGCTCCTTAACGCGGTTACCCTTTGTCTCTTGTATTGTCAAAAGAAGGATACTCAGGCAACGACAATTGTCCATGAGAAACGACACAATCAATTAGCTTGTACATTGTTAATCAATTGTTATTTTTTGCCCTAAAATCAGTGTTAATACTCGATCTATTTTCTATGCCCCTTTTACACTTCCCCTGAGAAATTTCTCCCTTTTCTTTTTTTTTCACGCCCCGATTCGAGGCGAGTCAACTACATCATCCTGCTCACTAGCGGATCGGATCGCCCAAACCACTAAACAAGCCTTGAGCTCGACTCGGCCCCTGACGCTCTTTTTTCTCTTTATATTCTTTATAATCTTGTTTACTCATTCTTTTACACATCGTTATAATATTCATTTTGACATGGCGGCACCCAAGTCGCCGAGCAACTCTAGCTCAGCTCGTTCTAACTCACGGCTGCCTACAAGCGTTCCCAGCTCGCCGCCCTCAGAAGAACAAGATGATCTTGAAGGTGCAGATGAGGCGCTCATCAAGGAAGAGCAGGAGGCGCGTCTAGAAAATGAGAGAAACGAGGAGAAGCGACGACAGGCGACGCTGAAAAGGAAGAAAAAGAAGAAGGCGGAGACAAAGTCTGAGCGTGAAGCCAAGGCTAGAGAACTTGATGATCTGCTCGCAAAGTCAGCTGCCTTCTCTGATATTCTCACTAAAAAGACTCAGGTGTTGGGTCGAGTCGGTAGTAGTCTTGATGGCAAGACGCTGGGTGAGCACAGCTTGGAGATGGCACAGCAGCCGAAATGTATGATCAACGGAACCATGAGAGACTACCAGCTTGAAGGTCTCACATGGATGTATGAGATTTGCTCTCAGGGCATGTCCGGTATCTTAGCTGATGAGATGGGTCTTGGTAAGTTTCGCTCTCACTTTATGAGTATCTCATGAGTACTGACTCATTCCAGGCAAAACTGTTCAAACCATCGCCTTGATTGCGCTGCTTCGTGAGCAGGAGAACTATCTCGGTCCTCATTTGATCGTTGCTCCTCTGAGTACGCTATCAAACTGGGAGGATGAGTTCACAAAATGGACGCCTTCTATCCCTGTCATCATGTATCACGGCAACAAAGATGACCGTGAGAAGATCTTCAGGACCAAAATGCTGAAGCATCTCAAGGCTGGCCGTCCCACCACGAAATTCCCTGTCGTGTGCACATCCTATGAGATGGTTCTCAGAGATCAGCACAATTTGTCCAAGATCAACTGGGAGTTTATCATCATTGTAAGTCTCATCATCTCATTCTCACCTACACCTAGTTAACATGAGTCTTAGGATGAAGGCCATCGCATGAAGAATGCAGACGCCAAACTGTTCCAACAGCTTCGTCAGTTCTCATCTGCAACTCGTCTTCTCATTACCGGGACGCCTCTTCAAAACAACCTCAAAGAGCTGTGGTCGCTGCTTCACTTCCTTTTGCCCAACATCTTTACAGACTGGGAAGCGTTCGAATCTTGGTTTGACTTTTCTGATCTCGAAGATGAGCAAGGTACAGAGGAGTTCATCGCTGATCAGAAAAAGCAAGAGCTTGTCAAGAAAATCCATCTCATTCTTCAGCCTATGCTTCTGAGACGTATCAAGCAAGATGTGGCTGCCTACCTCCCCAAGAAGAGAGAATACGTGCTCTTCGCTCCCATGACAAAGGAGCAGACAGATCTTTACAACGTGCTAACCAACAAAAAAGTCGATACCAGACAGTATCTGGAGGACAAGGTGCGCGAAAAGATCTATGGCACCGGATCCGCCGAAGCAAGCACCAAGTCATCTCGATCAAGCAGTGTCGCGGCTCTAAACACTATGACACTCCCCGTTCGTGAATCTCCGCGTAAGCAGCAGGTCGAACCAGAGCAGCCAGCAGCCAATGCCTTTTCGGTCATGATGGCTAAACGAGGCCGTGGCAGACCACGCAAGAACCTGAAACCCGACGAGGCACCTGTCACACCCAAATCTGGAGGTAAACGAAAGGGTGCTACTTTAGAGCCAGAGCCAAAGAGCGCCAAGTCCACTCGGGAGTCTACACCATTGAGCACGCGTGGACGATCGAGAAAGACAAGGAGCTACAAAGATGCTGGTTCTGATGAGGAGAAGATGTCTGATGATGAGTTTGAAGCAAAGTTGGCTAAGGAGATGGTCTCTGACGATGAGGACTTGAATGATCAAGTGTCGATGACACCAGAGGAGCGTGAACTGGCCGAGGAATTTGAGCTTGCGAGTAAGTTAAACCCGCGTTACTGTTCAAGCATATACTAACATAATACAGAAAAGCAGATTGGTCAGAAGAAGCTCGGCAACCCCCTAGCACAGCTACGACTTGTCTGTAACTCACCCCACAACTTCTACAACCCTTGGATCGCCTCAGACCTACCAGTCAACGACTCCATAGTCACTGCTTCCGGCAAAATGCTTCTCCTCGATCGTCTACTCCCTCGTTTATTCCAAGACGATCACAAAGTCCTCATCTTCTCGCAGTTCACAACTCAGCTTGACATCCTCGAAGACTACTGCCGTGAACTCCGCGGCTGGAAAGTCTGTCGTATCGACGGCTCTGTCGCACAGGAAAGTCGACGAACTCAAATCGCTGATTTCAACAGTGATCCCGAGTACAAGATCTTTTTGCTGTCTACCCGTGCTGGTGGGCAGGGCATCAACCTCGCTTCAGCGGATACAGTTATTCTATTTGACTCAGACTTCAACCCCCAACAGGATCTTCAAGCCCAAGACCGCTGTCATCGTATTGGCCAAACCCGCCCCGTCGTTGTATTCCGACTTGCTACCAAGGACACAGTCGAGGAAAACCTTCTCAACTCCGCCGACGCCAAGCGCCGACTTGAGAAGCTCGTCATCAAGAAGGGTAACTTCAAGTCAATGGGTCAAAAGATGGATCTCCACGAAGACATTGACCCTGAATCACTGCGCGCTCTGCTTCTGAAGGATGGTCAGGTGTACAAGGCTTCAGGTGGTGAAGAAGTCCTCAGCGACGCTGATCTGGATGTTCTATGTGACAGGAGTGAGGCAGCTTATGAGAAGGCTGCGAGCGGACAGGGCGATGCTGATGCGTTCCGCGTTGTGGAAACTGGTGCTGATTCTATCAAGATGGCGCGAAAGGATTAAGTTATACAGGTGTATTATTATTTGCTGATGATATTTGTTATTTGGGATTATTGCTGGAAGGGGTTACTTATCTCTGTATGTTATCATTGCTGTGGATTTGCTCAAGGGTGTTATGGTCATCAGTCGGTATGGAGCTTAGGGACTATATCTGTACAACTAAGATATCAGTTGGCGGAGATCCAACTGAAGAACAAGATACTCGTTTATTCTTTCAATATGGCTTAGTTACTTGGTGAATCCTGTTTATTCTCTGTGCGCTCACCATGGTCAGGTGGCCACAAAGTTCTAAAAATGTCTGTTATGCTTTTGTGCGTGTATTATGTGAGCTTGCTGCCTTGTGAAATACTTTTATATTCAAAGCTTGATTATGAACGACAAATCACGAAGCAACCTGGTACTATATACTTCATTGCCCAAGTCACTGTCAATACAAAGGAATGATTAAACTTTGACAGCAGAAAGTAAGTAGGTAGGTATATAAAGGAGACGTACGCTCCGTCTCTCGATCCTTTTCTTTCCTCTCTTCATCATCACCAACTCATCCTACCCACACTTCTCTTATACCTCAAGTCCTTTCTGTATCAGCACTCATCAGCTATACTTCTCATCACCACTGTTATCACAAGATGTCTTCCCAGCCCACCATCAATGATTTGCTCCCCAAGTTCATCGCCACCCTCAACAAGATCAATGCCACCGTTGAAGCGACCCATGACACCATCAAAACACTGAGTGATTCTGTCGACGAGCTTGAACGCACCGCCAGGGATCTAGAGTCCACCAACAACATGCTACACGAGTCCCTCACCAGACAGGAGCGCAACATCAACAGAATCGAGTCGAGACAGCGCTGTATCGAAGGCGAGCTGCAGAAGAAGAAGCAGAAACGACAAGAGGCAGAACGTCGCCTCAAAAGGGTGCAGGAGAGTAAGGACAGAGAGGAAAGAGAAGAGAGGCACAGAATGGCATCAAGGGCGTTAACGAAAAGTATATCAGAGCAACAGAGTATCATGGAGCAAGCAAAGAAAACATTTGCCGACAAAACATGGCCGCATCATTTCGGGATCATGTCTGAGAAGTTTTAGTCTTGGAGAAAAAGAAAGGTCATCTCATCATAAGCTATAAGAGGTATCTGAATACAAAATCACCTAACGCCTAGTCCCCTGAGCCTGCCAGTGATGCTAATGCTGAATATAGAAGGGTTAATTAATCTCTTCCACGAATCCAATCTGTCTCCTGGCATCTGCTCCCCCTCCAGGTCCTGAAGCAAGTCTCTTTGCCAATCTCTCCTGTGACTCCACCAACTTTTTCTGCGCCTCGAGTCTCCGCTTGACTCTTTCGTCTGCGCCTCGCTCGATTCGTTCCAACTCTTCACGCTCACTGATGCGTAGACTACTAAGTGCTTGCGCATTACCGGCTCGTTCAGAGTTCAATTTAGATTCCCACTCAATCATCTTCTGTTGTCTGGTCTCTTCGGCTATGAGTTCAGCTGCGGCGACTTGTTGAATACGCTCGAGGCTGGACTGCGTGACCTTGCTCTGCTCCAACTGTCGTCTCTTGACAGCTGCTAGGAAGAGCGTTTCTTCAAGATCAGCCTTTTGTCGTGTTGCGTTGATATCTTCGTTGTGAAGTCTGCGACGGCGGGCATCCTCGATTTCTGCCTTGTGATTCCAGATCTCTCTCTCCACACTGGCCACTTCCTTTGCTCGTGCGAGTGCAATAGCATGGTCTTCAGTTTCGAGTGCAATTCGTCGTAGTCTGGCCTTTCGTTCGCGTTCTTGGACTACCATATCATTAGGAAGGCCGACTGCATCTTCAGGCTGGTCTCCAGAGTTTGCGTAGTATACGTCCACTGCTCTGTTCGCTCGAAGAAGGCTGAGGAGCTGGTCTCGAGTATCCGATTCGGGCATCACTTTGCTGACATACATTGTTGGAGAATACGTAAACTCGCCATCGGTGTAATGATTGAACGGTTTGTTGATCTCCTTCCACATAGCCACCTTCAAGAAACTGCGAGTAGTGACAATAGGGTCTGCAGAGTCGAAGCAAAGAAGCAGCAGAGACTTTCCATGTGACTGCAAGGTTAAATCTGAGCCAGCGTCAATCAAGAAAGTCATCACCTTCTGCATGAGCTTCTCTGCGTCTGCAGTCATTTTTCCAGACCCTGCTCCATGGAGACAGACTTCGCCAAGAGCAGATCTTCCATCGTGTAGTGGACTGGGGAAGTCAGGATGATGACCATGTTCCACTAGGACTGATACTGCTGCAAAGTTGAGTTCTCTAGCAGAGTTATGTAGTGATCCATCATCCTTCGATTGGTCAAATGCTAGTAAGTTACCCATCATGCGAGTCGACAGCTCACCGCCAATATCGGTGGTCATCGCAAGAGGTGTTCTTCCCATGGCATCGGTGATATCGACGCTCGCTCCTTCGATAAGTAGTTCCTTTACTATATCGGGTCGGCGAGCTTGGATAGCGATCATAAGGGGGGTGGTTCGGCTGATTGTTGTCTCGAAGTTGACGTTCGCTATAAATGTTAGACATGAGCTTGCAATGAATAACGATGAAATACATACCGCCACGCTCGATCAGCATCTTAATCAGTGCTGAGCTGACCTTCTTTTGTGGCTGAGCAATTGCCCAGGCGAGCACCGTCACCTCTTCAGGCTCCTCCACGCTGTCGTGGATACGATACGTTGTTGTCTGATCGTGATAGAAACCAGCATCCAACAACACCTGCAACAGCTCTGTCGACCTAGGATACTGCGAAATCGCCCTGATGAGGATCGGATCCGACCCAGCACTCCGCGTCATGACATCCAGTCCGACTTCTCCATCGCGATATCCCGAAAATAGTTCAAACAGCTTGAGTACCTCATCAGGCGACCTTGCCGTATCAAACACACGCTCAAAAGCAAGCGTGAGAGTTTGCGGTGATGGCCTGCAAGCAAGCAGCCTTTCTGTCCAATGGGCATTACCCTTTGATGCTGCGCAAATCAGAGGTTCTCCATTCTCAAAGTCAATATCGACTCCATGAGCGACAAACAAGTCAACAAACTCATCAGCCAATGGCTCAGTCTCGTCCGTGCTCTTCTTCATCACCTGTACCAGAGCACTGCTAACAGCCACTCCCTTGGCCCCTTTAGCTAAAAGCATTTTTGCAACCTCTAGCCCGTTCGGGGAGAACCATGTGCTGAACTGTGTCTCTGAGAATCCGTTTTCGAAAAGCTTGAGTATCTCATCCTCGTCGATCTTACTACCCAGGAGAAGATCCAGTGCCGAAACCTTGACACCCTGCACAGCTTGGGTAAGAGCAAAGCAACCATTTGTGAACGGTGATGCTCCAGAGTCAAGCAGGACCTGGATAAGCCGCTCATCTGGTTCGTCTTCACCAACTGCCTTACTCAAGGCGATGTGGACCTCATCCACAGCTGGCATGCCTGCTTTCATCAGGTCTTGGACTATATGCAACCTGGTATCTTGGTTAAGCTTCCAGCTTGCCTTCATGGCCCTAACTAATGTAGGAGGCGATGCCTTTTTCTACAAACACGTTAGCTACATCGTTTCCAAACGACTTGTCAAACTTACCTGATTACCGCCCTCATGCCACAATCCTAACAGCAGCTCAAGACTACCAACAAAGGCACTTCGGGTTGCCGCCACAACTGCCTCACCGTTACTGTAGTTGGGGTCTGCACCCGCTGCCAGCAAAACACGCAACACTTCATGACCCTCTTCGCCGTACTTTGCAGCTGAAACGAGCTGAATGTCGACAACCTCTCCAGAAACACCCCTCTTGAGGAGGCGCTGAAAGACCATTGCCCTTTTGTTCAAATCTCTAACCTCGGTCGCAGCTTGGAATCCACGCTCTAATGTCAACTTCTGAGTATCGGCATTAGACTTGAGAAGCACATCAAGAACTTCAACAGAACCACCACGGCATGCTTCAATGATAGCTTGGCCTCCGTTGGTGGAAATACTGGCACCGTGTGCAATAAGAACATCTCCAAGTTCCAGATCACCATCCCTCGCCGCGACAAGCAGAGCGTTAGAGGCTGCTTGAGAGGAAACGCCAGATTTTGCCAGACGATTGCAGATATCTAGACGAACTGTCCAGTCTGCGATCTTCATCGCTTGATCCAAGCAAGAATCTCTGGTCTCATCCGTATGCTTGAGCTGTGAGAGAAGGAGATCCAAGACTTCAACCGACTCTTTGGTCACAGCGAGTGCAAGGGCTTCTCCGTCAGACGCATCAGCATAAGTGGCTAGAACGCATATCAAAGCGACGTCTGTGGTGAAATGGCTAATAGCGTGAATCAATGCCCTGTTGACTTCACGAGGGGAGGCTCCAGATTCTACTAGACTCTTAGTGAAAGTCAAGCGGGTCATAGGATCCGAGATCTTGAGGGCCTGCGGAAGTGCGAATGCTAGTGATGCCGCTGTCGGTGGTTTCTCACTAGCGAACAGGGTATCAACTATCGTGTCCTTCGCTTCTTTGACCGCACTGCATAGTGCCCTTGCCTGGAAAGCGTTCACATCGGCGCCGCGGTCCAACAGTTTCTGCAGTGTTTTGAAAGAGGCATTGCCAGTTGTGTCCTCGATAAGAGTCTGGACTTCATGCACAAGCATTGCATCCAGGTTGATCTTCTTGGGTGATCTGGTCAAGATAACATCAAGCTTCCACGCTTTGTTCTCGCTCGATGGGATTTTCGCCAATCCTTCAAGACAAACAGAGATGGTGTCATGATTATGTTTGCCCAAAGTCAGGATCAGATCAATAACCTTGGGATCAGGGGTTTGGGCGGCTTTCTGCAGAATTTGACCGTTCAGGCCGCTGATATCTGGTCTTCCTTGTTCAAGGATAAGCCGAAGAAGAGACATGTCAACAGGTGTTTCCGATATGTTTGCAAGAAGAGCTTCCGCAACCTGTTGTCCAGCGACACTCGCCCTTGCATTAAACAGCATTGACATCATCTCGTACCTGATTTGGTGGTTATCAATACTCATCACATTGTTGACATGCGCAGCTGCTGTCTGGGGAGAAGCGTTTTGCATCAAGGTGGTAAATAACCCCAGGTCCATCTGGTTTATGATCTGTGTGAGTCCAGCACCATCGTCATAGTTGATGTCCGCATTATACTTGAGTAAAAGATTGATCAGGGCGTCGTCTCTCTGGGAAGGGTCTTCACTGATTGCATCTTGGAGAGCCTTGTGCAAAGCTGGGCCGGTTAAAGCTCCCCTGAGAAACATCTCAACCATACGATATCGATCCGTCGGGGGTAGGCTCTTAACCAGAGGAAATATTGCGGTAAGTGTTTCGTTCGACGGTCTCGCGAAGAGGATCTTGGCTGCCATGTCTGCATTACCGGCTAGGATTGCTATCCGTAGAGCTTCTCCGTTCTGGTAATCAGGCGACGCAACAGCGTGACGGTTAGTGATGCGTGGCTTTACCTGCCCATTTTGCTTTCCACTTGGTGGCTCGCGAAAGTGTGGGTTGAGTAAAAGTTCTACAGAATGAACGTCCCCAGCTTTAGCAGCTAGAATGAGGCAATCGTTCAGAACATCGCCATTTGCTCCCCGTCTGAGGAGCGAGTATAGCAAATTTTGTCGGGTTCCAGGATCTGCATGTTGGGGAATCAGAGGGACACAACTTGATGCCAATGCAGGATCAATCTTGGACGATCCGTTAAGAAGAGAGCCCACAAGGCTGGTCTGGCCCTTTGAAATGGCGGTTTTCAAAGCAGAAGCGTCGTTGTGCTCGATTGAAGCTCCATAACGCGCCAAAAGGTCAGCCATCTCAAAGAACTGTGTCTCGCAGGCCACTTCAAGTGATCTTTCCAGGATGGTCCCCTGGGCGCCGCAGCAAAGCAGAAGCTCGGCAAAGTCAAGTTTCGATCGTGGTTCTAATTCTGTGTTGTTCATGAGCTGCTCAAAAGCCTCATCAAGGCCGGGACTTTGCGGTGGCTTGTTTCCTGTGGCAATTGCCATTGCGATATCTCTTCTTTGGTCGTTGATAGCGATCTTGAGAGCTTCAGCGTTGTTGTAGTTCCCGTCTGCGGTGGAACGACTCAGATGTAGAACAGTGTCGAAACATTGTGCTCTTGTGGCGTCGGTAAGCGCTTGCGATGTACATATTTCTTCTGGTCGCCCATCGGATCTTAGAATGAGCGATGCGATTTCTGATAAAGCTGGAACAGAGCACGCTTTGCGGAATTCGTCCTGTCCTTCCGCAGTGTTTGATGCGTTTGCTCCATACCTCAATAGGACCTCCACGATTCGTGCATTTCTAGTTCTTACCGCAGCTGGAAGACAAGTATCAAGGGTCAATGGGTCAGCATGCGGTATAAGCACATGTACCATGTCTAATTGGTCTCGTTCAATCGCGGATTTGAGAAGGCGAGTTCGATCAAGACCATGTTCGACGCTTTTTCGTCTGTTTAATAATCCCTGTTTCTGAGTCTGCATACCACCTAAGTCGACACCAGCTGCAGCCAATTTCGCAATCAATGATTCGGCTACACCGGGCGAGCCTGAACTGTCGACCCAAGAGTTCAACACGTTCAGTATCTCTTTGGTATCCCAATGCTTTCCCTTTTTCAGGTTACTCGATGAGAAGGCTCGCGACAAACCACTCTTAGGTCGCAGCTGTGCGACTTCAGCGGACCGCCTCTGTAGCAGGCCGTCAGCGACTTCATCATCGCCGTGAGTTCGAAAAGAGGTTGGGTGAGGTGGTCGCGTGAGAGGAGTAGGGGCATTGGGTGGTAGTGAGAAACTCCATTGCTGTGATAATTGGATAATGCGCCTCTGTCGGGCGTTAACCGTTGAGGAATTCATTCTAAGATGCGGCTATCATTTGAATTGGCGAGAAGACGAGTCAATGATGATATAAGCTGTTGGAAGACGGCTGCAGACTCGATTTGAAATGCTGTAAATATGGCGGCGTTGTACTGGGTATCAAATAATGAATGCCTGTTTGTTGTTGTAGTTGAAAGAATGCAAATTGAGATGGTTGAATGATGCGTGGTTGAGAATAATGCCAGTCAGCCCCTCACAAGGCTGCGATGATATTGTTATTGTACAATTGAGGCCGGTACTTCCTGGCTTGACCGAGTGTGCAGTGGCCTCGCCTTTTGTCTCGAGGTGATGTCCTGTCGGAGGCGGTTCTTAGTGGAGTGTTACAGAATATGCCTGAAGCCGGGGGGGAGCCTGAAGGCTGTGATACCCCACTGTGTGTGCACTAAGCCACAGCCGCAACACCCCACACACGTCTGGGTGTCACATCGTGTACTTTGCTGGATGGGAGCCTCCAATGAGACCTGATATCTTGTGTTTAGTCTTGATTTCAAGGTTCAATTGCATTAGATACCTGTTCTACTGGCCTTAAAGCTGAATGAAGCAATCGGTAACTTCGGCAGAGTAGAATGACTAACGCTTCAATGTAAATTACACTTTGTTCTCGGCCTGTTGTCGTATGAGTGGATGCCCTGTCGTTCAGGTAAACGCCCTAAAACATGCACTCTAATTGAGGTGACGTATAGCGGCCCAAGGTCTAATTGATAATCACTGACCCCAGCTTTGGACGAAACAATGGTCGCAAATCACTAATTCAACTGCAATATCTTTCCAATTACCCCAATGAACATCTCAATACGATTAGCCGGCCTCAATAAGAATCCTCCGACGCACGTATACAGGGACACTCCCTGGACGAGCTTGCGAAGCTCCTCTCATGCCAAGCCGCCTGCACTGCCACGATCCTCTGTCATGACATCTGCTCCAACTGCCACTGACACATGAAACCAACGCCCGGCCCCTGGCTGAAAAACTCTCGCGGCGATCACTAGACCGTAAACAGGCCAGTTCGGGCGACGCCTAAGAATAAACCCGTCGGGAGGTTGGACCGACGCCTCCGTCTAAGAGGAGCTGGCCACGCGTATGCTGGCGTAGCCTCAACCTAATTGAGACCTTCTTTCGAGACTAATGTGAGAACTTCTGTAGACGAGTTGTGAATGGGCTGATTTCTGAAGAATCCTTCTCGTGTACAGTAGCTTGGAATTAACGTTAGAAGTTTAGCCAAACTGTTGGAACAACGTTGTAGTTGGCGAGGACTAAGCCCTTTGGGGGTAGCATTTGGAACATTCTGTTACAACTCATGGAACAATAAAATTATTTCCTCTCTTCCTTATCGCCTATTCGTCATCTTCTTCTTTTGCGACTGAGCCAGTCGGCGTCACCATATATTGACTTGAAGGAGGCGTAACTGTAATTACGTTTACTCAATCGTCTACCCTAGATCCCAATACTTGAGTTGATAGTGAACATCCTCTATTCAAGACTGGTCTACAGAAATCAGCAAACAACATGGATGGCATCGCGTGTATTGACCCATTGAGCACTAGCATAACGATCTGATCAAGAATCGAGATGCAGGCTCGTCCAGAACTGACCTGGTCCCTGACGTGCCCATATTAGCTGTCAACTTAAGTTCGCAACAGCCTTGAAACAAGCAATGCGCAAGCTTGACTTGGGCAAAGCCACACTCGGCATTTGTTTTGGCTTAGGAGCCAATCGATGTACTTCAAATTCATGATATCATAAAGTTGTCATTGCGCTGCACGGAAGAGGGCTATCGAAATCATGACGACTCGGACTATCAGTCCAAGTTGGCTGAGGCATCACGAGGTCTATCTGATCAATGCGCTGTAACACTGGTGCATATCAGTGATACGAGACCGCGTAAGGATACAAGAGGATCTCCTCGGGCTTCCAGGCGCAAAGTATCCGTATCTGTAACTACCTACCTTATGATGCAGACTAGATCTGAGAATCATTATCGATATCACCGTGAGCCCAGCAGTATCATCGGATGTCAGGCTGTAATATTTGAGCAGCTTTATCACAATTGGAAAGGCTTCTGAGACTGAACGATATTTTAATAATTTCCACTATAAGCATGGATAGGCATTTAAAAGTTCATTTCAGATCACAGACTGGATAAGGTAGGTATCAAGATCTTTGATGTCCAGACATGGACTATAGGGTAATCTACTTGCTGTGTAAGTGATGTGGGTAAGAGCTTAGCCGACCAACAGTACAGCTCAGTTGACACCGATATAGTGGATGAGATCGAACATAAACTGCAAGACTTGTGAGTATTGTGCCTCATTTCAACTTGTTACTATAGTTGAAACTCGCAATAGGGTGCGTATATGTAAACACTGGATACAGATATGATAGGATAGACGCAGGATCATTTATGGCTAACCATGTCTTCTGCTTTCTAGAAGAGTAAGTGTAAGCAATAGAATGGCCGATCTGACCAGTCACTCAGCGGAGTAAGGACTCTATCTATTATATCTACCCAATAAATAGATATCGAGGTATTCAAATCAACGTCTATATAATATATTCTCTTCTATATATATCCGAAACCGCAATCATGACGTGCAATCACCTCAGTATCATTACCCCGCCATCATGGGCCCGATCCCCCATCCATCCCCGCTATAGCTCCGAACCACTCCTCCATCAAAAACCGCCCTCTTCCGACCCGACACATTATTAATAATCCCCCGTCCCGACACTCATCCCATGGCTCAACCTCTCCGTCGCTCCCTGCTCAGAACCAGCCTCATATCAAAACATCTCACACCCTCAATCCCAGTCCAGCGCATCTCCAGAATAGATTCACACTTCTCAACAGCTACAATGGCGCCTGTACCTCCCAAGATGAAGGCCGTGCAGATTAACAAGAACGGCGGCACTGAAGTCCTTGAGTTCAACGATGTTGCTGTTCCTAAAGCCGGCGAGGGCCAGATTCTTGTCAAGAATCAGATTGCGGGCTTGAACTATATCGATACGTACTTCCGAAGTGGTCTCTACAAGGCGCCCCAGTTTCCTCTTACGCTTGGTCGTGAGGCTGCTGGTACTGTCGTTGACGCTCACTCCTCTGTCAAGGGCTTCGAGAACGGTACGCGCGTGGTCTTCATGGGAACTGTGGGCGCATACGCCGAGTACAGTGTCGTCAACGCTTCTGACGCTGTCAAAATCCCCGACGAAGTCCCCACTGACCAAGCTGTCGCTGCTTACCTGCAAGGTCTCACAGCATGGACCTTCATCCGTGAAGCTGGTCAGGTCAAGGCTGGTCAATGGGTTCTTGTCCACGCTGCCTCTGGAGGTGTAGGTACTCTGCTTGTCCAGCTGCTCCGAATTGTTGGTGCCAAGGTCATTGGTACTGCCAGTTCAGAGGAGAAGCTTGCGCTCGCGAAGAAGAATGGTGCGGAGTGGGTTATCAACTCTCATGATGATGTTGTCGCAAAGGTCAAGGAGATCACCGGTGGTCATGGTGCGGATGTTATCTTTGATGGTGTGGGCAAGGTCACTTTCGATGGAGATCTTGAGATGATTGCTAAAAAGGGTAACCTCATCTCTTTCGGTAACGCTGTAAGTGATGTTCCAACAACTTTCGCATCTCAAGCTAACAATAATATAGTCCGGCGCCGTGGACCCCGTGAGCCTCTTCCGACTTACACCTAAGAACGTCCGCTTGATGCGCCCCGTAGTCAACGGCTACGTCTCCGAGCGAGCTGATCTCGAAAAGTACACATCCGAGCTCTTCGACCTCATCAAGTCCAAGAAGCTCGAACTCACCATCCACAAGGTGTACCCTCTCAAGGACGTGGCACAGGCACACCAGGACATTGAGAGCCGAAAGACGATTGGAAAGTTGCTCATTAAAATCGATTAAGTCTAGCCTTTTAATTTTTATTTTCAACGCTGTCTGTCTATAATGCTATATGGATGGTTCAACCATGACCAAAAAACATAAATCTTTTAACAAGTTTTCATCTCGCTCCGTAAACTGCTAGAGGCCTGCTCGCACATGGATGGCCTCGGTCATCATTATTTCTATTTTTAAGCCTTGGAAGACTTGACAGCCTCAACCATCTCGGCGGGAGGATCTTGTCGATAACCCTTGGGGTTGTTGCTGACCCATTTCCAGAGGTCATCGCATGCCTTCTCCATGGTGAGCTCGGTCTTCCAGTTGAGCTCCTTGTTGGCGAGGGTGGGGTTGGCAGTGAGGTCGAGAACGTCTCCTTGTCGTCGAGGCTTGACCTCGTAGGGGAGATCGCGGCCGACGACCTTGCTGAAGGCCTTGATGATCTCAAAGACAGTGCTTCCACGGCCGGAACCCAGGTTCCATGCCTTGACACCGGGCTGGTTCTCGCGCAGGTAGTTAAGAGCGACAAGATGGCCGCGGGCAAGGTCAACAACGTGAATGTAGTCTCGAATGGCAGTACCGTCGCGAGAGGAGTAGTCTACCAGACGTTAGAAGTTGCGCAGTCATTATGCACCAGGAAAACTTACCATCGCCGAATACCAAGAGCTTCTCACGTTCACCAGTAGCAACCTTTCCGAGGAGGGGAAGCAGGTTGTAAGGAACACCAGCGGGGTCCTCACCCATGATACCAGTGGGGTGAGCACCGCAAGGGTTGAAGTATCGCAGCAGAGCACCGTTCCATTGCTTGAACTCCTTGCCGGCCTTCTCCAAGTTGCTTCGCTGGGCGTTAATAAAGTCGGTGATAACGTCCTCGATCATGGACTTGGTGCGGCCGTATGTGTTGGTAGGTCCAATGGGGCAGTGCTCAGGGATAGGAATCATGTTGGGGAAACGAGTGGCATCGCCGTAGACAGTAGCGGAGGAGGAGAAGACGATATTGTTGACGTTATTGCGCTCCATGGAGCGGAGCAGAGAGATACTGCCACCGACATTGACACGGTAGTACTCGAGAGGGATCTCGCCAGACTCGCCGACAGCCTGGATGGTGTTAGTCGTATATGATCGCTCTGGCTGACATGTGACTTGCCTTGAGGGCAGCAAAGTGAATGACGCTGTCAATGGCAGGGTGCTTGGCAAAGACATCGTCGATGGACTTCTCATCTGTGACATCGACCTTGTAGAAGGTAGGTCGGCGACCGCAGATCAGCTCGATGCGGTCTAGGACAACCTCTGAGGAGTTGTAGAGGGAGTCGACGATAACGACATCGTAACCGTGCTCAAGAAGGGCGAGAGTGGTGAAAGAGCCGATATAGCCGGTACCACTGGAGGATTAATCGTTAGCTGGTGCTTCTTTGTCTAATGCGACACGGTATTATCTGTGTCTTGAAGCTTGCGACAACAAAGACAATGTCCAGGACCAATAAGAGATAGGAGGAGTCAGTGTCGCAAGGGATGGTTGAGTGGCGTACCCGGTAACGAGAACAGTTCCAACAGGCATTTTCAATGGATTTCTTTCTTTGTTCTGACTGATCGATTCAAGGTTGCGGTGAAAAAACACAAAGCAAGAAGAAGTCAAGGAGGCGGGTTGCGTTGAGGGATGGCGGGGTTAAAGGCCAATGAAGTGAATTGGTAGGGGGAGAATGTCGGGGATGGCGGGGCAGCTGTTTTTTTTGGGCTCGCCTAGCTCGCTCATTAGAGGGGGTTCGTGCTGATGTGATTGACGCTGCTAATTTAATGGCGGTGGGACTGCCAGGATCTTGACATGCCCATACTAGCCATGCCTCATGGGGGATTATTCGGGGGCTTGAGGCTGAACGACGAGACTGTCGATATCGGCTCTCACGAGAATGAGTCGAATGATTGAGAAGGAGTGGCAAATAATATCGCAGCATGGCATAGGCCCGATTGGATTACACTTAAAAATCGAGTTTACAATATGCGCTCCATACAACGGCCTTGTATTTCATTAACGACGGTTTACCCGGCTTGAACTGGACCGAAGAGACGATCATGGTGGGCGGGCAGGGTATTTGTGGAGTATGGGCCTCGTAATGTTTATATCTCTTACATTCTCTATTGTACTACGTACGAATGTAATTAATCAACCTGCGCTCTACGAAACAATGCGTCTTGTAGTCGGCAGTTGATGGAGAGTAAATTTTAGGAGAGTCCATTTATGGACAATGACTCCAACTTACATGTCCATGCAATGCATGCATTGATAGCGCTATGGCTAAGTCCGACTGAGACTTCGTATTGCTTCTCGTATCGGCCACGAATCCGAAGGAATGCAGGTATTAAAGAGATACCAAGAAAATTACTCATTTCATATAAATTCCAAGAAAATTATCTTGCACTTTGCTCATGGTCGAGGCTTTGATGGACTGTAATTGCGAGTCTCGATTCTTGACTAATAACTCTAAGTGAAGTTGAGTTGGTCTGGATCAGATGCGGCTGGAATTTGGAACGATGGCGCACTTTAATTGGCAGACTTTAGAAAGATAAAAATTGAAAATTAACAAGGCAATTATTCTGCCTGGTCTGTCAGGATGAATGTGTTGAACCAATGTTGATGTTGCTTCACTGTAATTTAGAAGCACTTGTACGACGCCAGTGCACGTGATCACGTACACCAGCCTCTCGATTTGCGCCGCCTAATCCTCGGCGCGTATCGCGTCGCCTGCATACAGCATCTTCGCGATAGCATCACAAGAAAGTACCGACAAAAAAAGAAAGACGCATTTCAACGATCCAGCAAAAAGAACTCATCGCCGATACCCAAATTATTGCTCTGCCATCATCGCGAATTTTTTGACGAAACCTCTCAGGACTCATTGTTTGCTCATCTCACCGCCACCAACATGTTTCTTTGTTGTGTTTGACTACATCTCAGCGCTAAGATTGGCCAGTAGAGCTGGCACTCAGCAAACCTGTCTTTGTGAATCACAACTAGAGGCGGGAGCTATTTGGTGGTGTTGCTCTGATACGTCTGTGTGGGAGACACACAAAGTCAGTGCTGCTATTTTCATCTCAGAGGACAAAGAACGACCACTTTCACCCATCTTCATCATCTCAGATAAAGGACGCTTTTATGAAACAAAAGGGAGCGATTCCTTTCAGACTAAAATCTTTTTGTTGTTAAATCCTCTGTTCACATCAACTTTGCTCAGCCTTCACATTTCACCTCAAACATGCCTCCCAGAGTCAGTAGACGCACTACCCGCCTCTCAAGTCGGGAACCCGAGCAACAATCTACGAATGAGCCGCAGAATACGTTGGTGAGGCCCCATTTACCGGCTCTTCAAGGAACGCCAAGTACACGGAGGCAGTACACATATGGCTCTGCTGCTGAACCGCCGCCGAAAGTGGGAGCTGGTCTGCAGCGCATGGATTTGGGCAGTGCTGTTAACCAAGCCCTTGCAAACGACATCGAGGATGAGGAAGAATTCGTTCGGCCAGCGAAGCCAAGGGCGATGTCAGCAAGGGCAGATGACGCGGGTCCATCAAGAGACAGTGAGTGACATCGACATTGCTCTCGACAATTCTAACATGGAACAGATACATCACGCTCAGCCACAGGCACCGTTCAGCAATTAGCGACTGAGAGAGATGATGATAGCTCACGAAGCTTTGGCTTGGAAAGTGAATACTACGAAGATGCAACAATAGGATCGGTGCCACCTTCGGCAGCAAGCACTGAAAGACAACTTGCTGCCCCCAACCTAAATCCTCGAGCTCAACGAGATACGTCTGTACAGCGTAGCCTACAGCCATCTCGTCTAAGCCAACAACTCGGTTTTGAGCCGCAGCCCAGTAGACCAAGAGATACTCAGCAAACGTCGCTCCAAGTCCCGAGACAAACACGGCAGCAATCGAGTGAACTAGAAGAAGACGAGCTGGAAAACAGGGCTGCACCTCCTGCTCGTAGTAGGACCTCCATAAACACGCCAGCCCCAAACAAAATCCGACAAAGTCAGCCCCGGCCTCGAAACCCTCCGGTGGAAGATAGCGAACAGAGTGAAAGCTCTGCTGAAAGCGATCAAGACGACATTGAGAGCGACACCCGATATGGAGGCAATGCGAGAAAGGCACGCATTGTCACAAAGAAAACTTCTACACGTACAGCCAACACAAACCGCCGAGAGACAGCACAACAGCTATCTCGACAGGCTGCTCCTGAGAGGAGAGATCAAAGAACAAGCGGAGGCCAGAGCCTTTTTTCTACACCTGGAAGGACTCTTTCGCAATCAAGCGCGTTTGAAAAGGCCCGTCAGATTCCCCGTGATCCACAAGAGCGTGTTTCGGACATCCAGCGAGAGATTAAAGAAACAGAGGACCAAATCGCTCGTGAACGAGCCGAGAGAGCCGAGAGAGAACGGGCGCCCCAAATAGAGCCGTGGCGTCGATGGTATCGGGAACAGATTGCTTGGTTATCAACACTCTGGCCATTCAACTTGATCTGGGGACGGCGCGGAGACGATGACTTTGATGACTTTGACGATGATCAGTACAACAATGGTGGCCCTACGGATTGGTGGAAGTTGCTAAACCCCATGACATATCTGGAGTCTGTGGTATGGTTGGTCGATAAGATTATGGATCATTTCGTCAACTTTCTTGACAGATTATCTGGTGTTCAAATCCGAGGTTCTCAGATTGAAGGATTTGTCTATACTGTTCTCATGGTCGGCGTCAGCTTGCTCTTGGGAGTCTTCCTCTTTTCAGGCATGGGAGCTGTGAAACCATCTCTACCGAGCATGCCATCCTTTGGCTTAGGTGATTTTCATATTCCGAACCCTTCTGGCTTTGTTCACAACGTCGCAGATATGATGCCATCGTTCTCAATGCCCTCATGGCCTTCCTGGAGCAGAGATGACGATGAGCCTGATGTCTTTGCAAACATTCCCATTGACAACATGCAAGATGAAGTCAAGAAAGCAGTGAAAAAGCTGACGTCAAAACTCAGTGACCAGAAGAAAAGTCTCGAGAAGCTGGAAGCGAAACTCCCTCAATTCATCACCATGGAAACCGTCAATGGAAAACCAGCTATTCCCCAACAGTTCTACCATGGTCTTCAAGATTATCTTAAAGAAAGTGGAAGCTTTTTGAACATGAAGAAGAACCGCGGAAACTACGAGATCTCCACGGAAAAGCAATGGAAGGCCATTGTGGCTGGACTCGGTAAAGACAAGGATTTCCAGTCGAAGCTCACAAAAGAGGTCGACCGCGGCATCGAGGACAAGCTGCCTACTTTCTGGGACAAATGGTTCAAGAATAACAACAAGATTCTCGAACCGCTCGTTGAAAAGGCAATGGCCAAGACAAAGGCTGCTGGGTCAGGAGCTGCATTTGACAAGAAAGTCGCCCAGATTGTCAATGAGCAACTCGGCAAGCAGAACCAGACTGTTGTTACTCGAAGTGAATTCATAAAGCACCTTGGGAATGAACTGGTGGCCCATCAGACAACAGTCCAAGCCGAGCTCCAAGAGTTAAAGTCGGATATGTTGACTCATATTCAAGAATCCATCCGTACTGCACAGTTGATGGCTCCCCAGGGAACATCGGACGCTGAGATGAGGAAGCTCATCAAAGAGATCGTTGTCCAGACTATATCCGACGAAGTCCTCGGAGTTGGCGCCAAGGCAAAGATCCATGAAGATTGGAACACACGTCTCAAGCACCAGGTCAACTTCTTTGCGGTTGGCGCCGGTGCTACCATTGATAACTCTCTCACGACAAGTGTGTGGGATCCATGGCAGAAGGGCGTCGCTAAGACAGCCTTGAAGCGTGGCATCTCTGGCATACATCCTCTCCCTGCCGTGGCAGCACTTCATCCTTGGCAGGATGAAGGGGACTGTTTCTGCTCAGTCCACGACATCGATGGTAGCGGACGATACCACGGTGCCAGAATCTCGGTTCACCTAGGCCATCTAGTCGTTCCCACTGACATCGTCATCGAACACATTAATAAGAACGCCACAACAGATCCACTAGCTCGACCGCGACATATAGAAGTCTTTGCTAGATTCGAAGACAAAATGGAGCGTGATCAAGTGTTTGCTATAACATCCCACTGGTTCAGAGACGACACCACAAATCGAAACGTGTCTGTTCCCCTATCCGACCAATTCGTCAAGATCAGCGACTTTGAGTACGTTGGAAACGAGCTAAACGATGGTGTACACGTACAGCACATCAAAGATCAGTTCTCCAACCTTGGAATCGGCACAGATCAGATCATCGTTCGATCCATGGGCAATTACGGCGCGGTAGACCATACGTGCTTCTATCGTATTCGATTATTTGGAAACCTGGTGGAATAGCTGGTGTAAAAACCAACAGACGAATAAACCTGTTGGTGCAGTTTGCAGTTTAGACTTCAATGTGCTTTCTGGGCGTTAGGTGGTTCGTGTACATAGTCTTGTATGGGAGTGTGAATTATAAACGCAAGGCATTGAAGCGTGGAGCCGGTATGGGAATTGATAGCTTTTGTTGAGA